TCTACATGTATTTCACCATGCTGGTCTTAAGAATGTGAAGGATTTTTTTCTGAGTGATATAAAATGGCAATTGCAACCGAAACAAAAATGGCCACTTTGTTCAGTTAGATTATATAATTTATATGTGTAATATGATATTTTGAACTGATATTTTCAGAAAATTAATAACCGGTATCAACAAAAAAACAGAAAGAATAATATTGTTATAGCAAAATATTATCTCCTGCTGTGTTACCCGATTATTAGAGGTGCTAATCATAGCATGAACAAAGTCAGCAAATCAGAATAAACAAAAAAGTGAGTGAGCACCTGCCATCCTAACGCTGTGTGAGTTTTCTTTTTAGGGAACACAGATGTGTTCTTAAAGAGATTTCCATCTGTTAAAATAGGACTTTATAATGTTCTTGCTGTTGCCGAGTGCTACTGCTGTGAGTGTAGAGGAGTTTTAAACACTATGACAAATCTGGCATTTAGATACCATCAGTTTGGACAGATTCTGAATTTTATTGTTACTGAGGTACATATAATCAGCTTCAGCATCTCTGAATGACAAAGGCTGCATATGTCTTAGCAGGAAGAAAATGTGATTACCTAATCTTGGTCATGCCGAGAAGCCAGAGCCCTCACAGCTCATGCTTCAGTTCACATGACATTAAAAGCCAGAAATCATACAAGAGTATAAACTAGCACAGACCACCTCACATGTCAGCTATCCGACATGTGGGCAGAGATTGTCCAGCGCAAATCAGCCTGCATGCTCAAAGCATAAACCACAACACTTTGCACATGCTCTCATTCAGATTAAATTAGGGTTGAAATGTTAAGTCTCCACTTTCAGGGCCACAAAAATGATTTGACTATTCAATGAATGATCCAATATTATTTTCTTGTATAGTAATGTAAGGCATGAAAAGGGCAATTTTTATGCTTCTTGAAGAAATTTAACTGGTCATCCAAAAACCCACTTCACTCTAAACTAGTTGGTGGGGAGTATTGCCTTCTACTTGGTAGAAAATTAAAATGAATTAACAGACACAAGAAAATCTCCATTTTGACATAAAGTTGAACCTTTTATGGAAGACCTTCTTCTCAAATATGCATGTCAGATCTTTTCGTCAAACTACATTTTGGATATTAATAGCATCTTGTTACTTATTTATGACTGAAGCGCTAATTAGTCGTATAAATCAGAGTGAATGACATGACAGTGATGGCTTGATAAAATGGGAAACTGATTCTGTTATTCAGACTGTAGTTCTAAAGTAAGGAGATCATGCATCGACTTTTTTTTGTCTGTCAGGGACTAATCCTAACATCCTAACTCCCCTGACTGTCATTTGTGAGAAAAAGCTGCAGAAAAAGTTGGAAGTGGATTTTCTGAATATAGCACAGCTTAAACTGGCACAGAAAAGAGAGAAGTCAAGCTCGGTGAACCCTCCTCCACTGCTCTTTCATACTTGGGCAGGTAATCTAAATATATTGCACTGAAACACATGTTACATATAGCATTATATCACCAGTTTTCCATTTTAATTCCAATTGCATGAGTTTGATGGACTGTACTAGCTTGGATCACACATTCAACTTTCCCGTGTAACTGAGCATATGGTGATTATTGTGATATTGCTAGTTCAATGCAACAAAAAATTAAAAAAACTCAATGAGGGGACACAATACACACATACACACAACTTTCACGGGTAACTTTAATTTCTGTCTGCGTTTTTCAAACCTTTTCTCAAAAATGTAAATAGATTACCACCCTCAAACTCACAAGCTGAGAAACAGGAGACGTCACGAGGCCAACTAAAGGGATTTCCAGCCCCACTCGCAGGGCTTACCTATGCTTTGAAGATAGCGGTGACAGTATGATGTAGCATGTGCTGATGAAATAGGACACCGGGCACACAGCCCCACTAGAAAGCAATCTGGTTTGTTCTCGCTGTGAATGCTGCACTTCTTCTGCCATCTGTGCAGCGTGCCTCCAAATTATATTTTCATTATGAGGGATGTCGGACTTTGTTAGTCCTTCTTAAATTATGAAGCTGCACTTCTAAGAAAAATAGCTGCAAAGCCATTTCATCTGTAGATTGTGCTCTTGTGACTGGACCCATCAGTGGTGTGTAATCCACTTACCGAGCTCAAGATGGTACTTCAGTCTGATGGGCATGTGTGTTCAAAACACTACTGAAATGACACCTCTGGTGACTTTTACCATGCATCTTGGTTCCAAGCTGTACTTTTTAAAAAGAATGATCTAATATAAAATATTGGTAGTTTGAATGAAATCTAATATTAACCTCCTGAGACCCCAGATTTTAATTGGTGTGCATTTTTGCTTTTTTAAAGATATATGGGATTAGTACAACCTACTAAGTTTAATAACTAAAATTTGTCATGGTACAGGTAGTTGTGCTTCGTATAGGCTCAGTGGGTTTATCTTTATATTTAAAATGCTAGTTTATGTATCTAATTAAATGTTATTGGAATTTTGTTCTGACAGTCCAAATTACTTATTAACAATTTTTTAATTACGCAATAAGAACATTATTGGTTGAAAATGTATAGCACCCATTTTACTTTAGAGTGTCTGATAGCGTCTGCTATGAGGCCAAGAGGTCAAAGTTGAAAGAAAAAATAAGTATCATGGTAAAGAGAGGCAAAAATGCTATGTCCTCTTATGAGGACGCAGGGTCTCAGGAGGTTAAATAAAAATGCAGCTCATCAGATTTGTGTACCATATATTGGTTTCCTTATTTTGAAAGAAATTCCTCATTAAAACGCCCGCTTTGGACTACCAAACTGATGGGATATCCTCCAGAGAGAAACTAGCTTAATATCTTCTGCTCTGATATTAATTGTGACTGAAATGCATCCTCTGTGGTCTGAAATAATGTCTTCAGTGTGTATAACCGGTTTTGGGCAAATCCTTGTTATATGGAGAGGGACTTGAGCTAGAGGCATTACTCAGAAGCATTGTTTTGTTTTTATTTTCAACTCGAATTACAGAAAGACATAATTAAAAACAGAGTGATGGAACAAAATAATTAAATGTGAAGGAAGCTAATAATCTATTATCTATTTTTTAATAGTATAATGGCATTTAGATATCGTAAGTGATGAAAGGAGTATTATCTCTGGTGGCATCAATTTTTATAATTATCTGCTATTTAAATCTTAAATAGGAACACATTCCTTCTCTTTTCAAAATGATTAAAAATCTCATTGTTTTCATAGCATCAACCTCAAATAAAATTTATGGAATTAAGCATTTTTTCTTATGTAAGAATCCTGCATCCATGATGGAGGACATTAACCTTTAAAAGAGGAAAAATAAGTCTCCATGACAGTGAACCAACATGTTAAAGTTCATGCAAAAGTTGGGATGCTAAAAGCAATGGGCACTTTTAGCCTCTTATCTGCAAGAGCAGAGGCCACTAATACAATAAAACCTAATGGGGATTTGAATAGGAATCACCTAGGTTACAACACTCCCATTAAATATTGACAGCTCTATCAATTTATTTTTGATAGAGCTTTCCATGTTGAATGTTGCCTTCATTAGGCCTGTAAAGTTAAAACAGAGTTGCCACATGGGTGCAGATTGGTTTGGTGCCAGGGTCTCTGTCTGAGGTCAGGGCCAAAACTCACACAGGACAAATGATCAGTCGTATTTTCCGTCGTCAATAATATACTGACCTTGGCACAGGTCTTCCGTGACCACAGTAGTCACCGTTTATGGTTCAATTAAAAAGCTGTTCTAAATCATGGCTCACTCACTGGTTTTTGCTGGCCTGTCACATCTCAGACGAGCAGCAGCAGCCCGGCTTTTTTTTCCCAACATCCTCATCGTTCCTAAACAGAGCATTAAATCATTTTATTTGTAATATCTTGTTTTCAGGATTACCTTTGACTTTTTTTAGAAAATGTATAAATGAGTGTGACACCTGGTCTGCATGCGTTCTCATTAAAAATCGAAACCTAGAGATTTGAGAATTCACTGCATTGTCAAAAATGTTGACACGGGTTCAGAGTATGTCCTGATCAAAAGGAGGTGACATATAGATACTTAATCCTAAACAGCATGTTGTCCTTTTACAAGTCCAGCATTGGTGTAACAAGACTTTGACAAACGTGATAATTTTATGACCAGCGGATGTCTTTGTGATGCCTTTGACAGTTTGATGAACCCATTCACACATTTCCATCTATCATCACTGCTGTGATGCTTCCTAAACAAGCCTTCCCTATGGGCTTAAAATGGCCAAGGACAGCAGAGATTAAAGATAGCCCATAATGAGGTTTCTTCCTTCGGAATCAATGTGCAGTTTTATCCCAGGGCCCACTGAAGGTTGTCTTTAAAAACAGCCCACTGTTGGGTCCTGACCTGTATAACCAGCTGGTACCCCACCTTGCAACTAGGAGTGAAGTTTATACAGGAATAAAGACTGTTCATGGCTTTTTCACACTTCAAAGCGCTATCTTGATGCACAAATATGTCTACGCTGAGCTCTTCATTCTGCGTCGTCTCCCGGTGTAGCAAAATACATTCCTAAACATTGCTCTGCATAATCAGATTGCCCTTTGAGAATCAGATTACTGTGTGTCTGAGGGAGATAATGTAGAATATGAGGATCAGCTCAAGCAGGTCCGACCTTGTGTGTTAGTGTAATCATCCCTGGATTGATATGAATCTGTAACATCAAGGATAAGTCCTTATTGCTGATGACAGTTCAGAGCAGAGAGCATAAATCAAGAAGCTTCCTCCTGCTGTACGTTTGCTTTGTGCCCGACCTTTTTTTTCTGCAGTTCAACAATCACTTTGCAAAGCTAATTGCAACGCTTAATTGAGTGGGTGCTTAAGAAGTTCTAGGGTATAACTTTGGCGAGTTTGCAGGTGGATGATGAATGCAGAAGTAGAGGGCTCCAATGGTCAATGACTCAAAGGCGGGAAACTTTCAAATCTCTTGTCTCATTGTAACTCTCTGTTTTCTCTGCAGTGCGTCTGCTCTGAGGCCGGGCAGCTGTGTGGGGCACCGGGTGTGGATCCTGCTGGCCATGACTCACCTCACCTTGGACTTCTCCGTGGGCAGCCCCCTCAGCCAGGGCCTGGGGATCAAACTGACCCCCAAAGCGGCGCCTCGGCCCCGACCCCGCTTGCAGCCCCTCTGGGAGTTGCCCAACAAGCTCCACTGGAGAACAGTGAGCCCACTGGCCCGCCGGCTCCTCAGCCCTGTCCCTCCACCCCAAGACAGCAGAGCAGGGCTAGGACCGAAAGTCAAAGATCAAAAGTATCGTAAGCCGGCACGTAAAGGACAAGCAGCCTGCCAGTGGTGCTGGCTAAGGTACTCTCAAGCAGACACCGGGGATTCTTTGCGTGGAATACCAGAAGTTCAAGTAGCTTCATCAAGTGGGAGGTTGTTAATTAGAAACAGAAGGCAGCTCAAATGGGACAACTACGACAAGTCTCAGGAGGGCCGGACTACTACAGTGGCTGGATTTATTGACTGGGGACCCACAGGGACTGATAGCATAGACGATGGCAAGGCAGAGCTCAATGTGACTCTGTCCACGAGGGTCTCAACCACCACAGTGGCCACAACCACTAGCACCACAACACGGCTCTCCCAAAGGACGTTCACTGTGGTGACCACAACAGAGTCCAAGAGCACCACCAAGTCCAGCATCAGCAAAGCAGAGACTGTCAAACCAACAAAGACGTATGGGGACACACCAGGTAAGATTCACAATGGCTGAAAACAGCTCATCATTTTAGCAGAATTACCTCTGCAGGGTGCCATTTTTATTAGCTGTAAAATTAAATCAGTGATTACAGCAGCAAACAGGATATCTGTTGATTATTATTATATTTTGAAAGGTGATAAAGTTTTTATATCTGAGGTTTTATTGGGATTTTGACATTTTCCCATCTAAATGGTAACGGAGTACAGGGAGGAAACCCTTTTCTTTATAACTCCATCTGGTACTATTGGTCACCTTTAAATAGTCCAAACAAAAATAGTCCACCCCTTTCGATCTTGTGTTTGTTATATAAAATAAAACATTCTTTTGGTTTTAGTGTCAGATCCACAAAGTAGAGGGTAATACTAACCAAACATTTAGCAAGTTATTACAATACCAATAGCAGCATGAATAACCTTTAAAAAAGCATCTTTCTTTCTATTTTGGGAGATAATGGAATATAATGATACACAGTGAGACATCATGAAGACCTAAAAATCTTTAAGTTCATCAATTAGCTTAGTTTTATGTTGATGTCTTTATAGATCCATAATATACCCACACAAAAAGAAAAAGAAGAAAAAAAAAAACGCTCGACTGAAAGGTTTGGGCATCTTCATACAGGTTAGGTGGTGTGAAAAAATATTGTTACTGCCCATTGTCTGATGAAACTTCTTTCTAACAAAACAGTGAGAAATAGCAGCATCCTGATACCAGCTGGAGCGATTGGGCTACAGCACCAAAAAACTGTCTGATACTTTATCACTGATAACGTTGAAAGACAGACTCTGCAGACCCTTTCATGAATATACTATTACAGCTGATTGAAATAGCCCCTGACGCACAGACCGTGTCCTTGACCAAGACGTGCCTGAAATCTTGCACAGGGGCTTGTGTGACTTTTATGGTCAGCCTCTTTTTGCTGTCGGCACTCACACCTCTCAGGCAGCGATATTACAATTAACATTTCATTACATTTATGAGGAACATGACTTCCTCTGAGATCTAATGAAACCTAAGTAATGTTTAACAGCTTATGAACTCAAACATGGGTTATTGAGGTTTTACCATTCAATGCAATAACAGAAATGTCATCAAAGCAGCCAATTAACTGGAAGGATTGTTAGAAGACCTTGAGAATTACATGTTTCTGAATGTTCAGGTGCTGCTGAATGTCACAGATTGGCCACAACATTACATCCACTGGCAGATTGAATGAATAATGCTGATTATCCTGTTACAGTGAAATATTCTGCTGGGACTTCCTGCATTCTGACATTTAAACGGAGATTACTCTGACCGGTCAGCTCATTTGACAGCAACAGGAGGATCTGATCAATAGCAGGCGGACAGTATGGTTGATCAGTGTGTGTTTCAGTCAATTTAGGTCCATTTCCATGATACCGTAATTAAATGATGACAATAATGACCAGCTACCGGGACAACAAACACCTGGATCTCAAGGCCTGAGTTCCTGCTTCTGTTTGTGTTTTTAGAACAAAAAAATACCCAGCTCTCAATGGAGCAAGGAGGACTTCAGAAAAGGCCTTTAATGTTAGAGGGGTAAACATGTGTTGCATCACTGTGACTGAAGTTTATGTAATGAATCGGCTTAATTGTCTTGTCAGCATTATTGTGATCTCCTAATTTTCTCTTGATTGGGAGGCGAGTGTGAGACCACCTGTGATTCAAATGATGGCTTGATATTGTATCCGGGAGGAAATCACCACAGCACCGCCGCCTGAGAAGCTGACTTTTTTTTTTTTTTTACAACTGGGCACACATCATTCTTTCATTGTTTTGTCATAAAAGCAGTGAAATATATATATTTTTTTTTACCTTTTCAAATCAAAGTCTGTGTAATGCAAAAGACCTTCCCTGTGCCTTTCAAGCACATTAACCCATGTCCGCCTTAAATTAGCCCCAAGGCTAGATGTAATTACCACATCAGCAGCACAGGGTTGGATAACAGAATAAATTAAACTATTGCAAACTGAGAGGCGCTTCACTATACTTTGTCTTAAATTGATTACTTTGCCTTAGAGGACGTGTAAAAATCCTCCTTTCAATTCTTGCTGTTCTAGATCAGAAAATACTGAAATTGATCTTTTGTGATCAGAGTAAAACAATATGCCTGTTGCAATCCTTTCATTAATAAACAAAAAAAAAAGAAGCAATAGTACATGAATAAAGTGTATTGCGCTAATTTTAAAAATGTACAAATAACTGATTTAAGTCTTTTTCATCAAAGGTTAATTTCTGTTTTTCTGAAGTGGCTTCTTGCGAATAAACTATATAACAATTCCCAAACACCTCAGCTTAGAATAAAAGTAAAAAGAAAACTAATCCCGCAATCCGGATGTCCACTGCATCCCTAAACTAATTTACTAAAAACACTTTTCAAACAAATACTTATCCCCTGCAGCCGTTTCACATGAATGCTTTAGCTCTGAAAACTTTACCTTTTAGTGCCTTGTTCCACTGGGGGATAGCAGTAGGTTCAGGAAACTGAGCAGTAAATGGGATGCATACATAAACTAAATTACCGTTACCCATGGATAATGTTTTTGTCAGATGGTGAAACCTAAAAACAGGACACAAAATTAGATGGAAAAAGGTTAGGAATGGTGTATTACTGAGCCCAGTGGAGGTGAGGGCCAGTGACAGTAAACATCAGAGGAGGGGGGATGGGGGTGATATGATGGGGGGCTGAGGGCAGCGGACTTGAAACATGAGTGGCCTTAAAAAAAAAAGAACAAAAAATACATAAAAAAAACTATGAAGCTGAAGTGTCTGCTGTTACACCCTTAACTGAATCAAAGGTCTGGGGGAAAAAGGGTTGGAGAACCAATGTTTAATAGAGACCCCAGTATCCACTTTACATCAAGCAGCAAAAAACACTTGCCCACCCGCTGTTCTTGTTGACTGAGTATGTTTCACCTCTCATCGAAAATGCTTCTTACAATCTAACAGGTTGATCTGGAGCGCCAGGCTTTTAAGCTGTTGAAGGCAGCATTTCACCCACCAGCCTGCTGGTCATTAGGTGAATTCTTATCAACAGCAAGCTAATTCATCTGCTTCAGTTTTATTTTTCTTTCTCCAGGCGCTACAATACCATATCAGTCTGTTTCCATTTCCACTCAGGTCTGAGGCTCAGGGTGCACCGGGAAAATAGAGCCGCCTGCACGTAAAAAACAAAAAAAAACAAAAAACAATACAAGAAAGAGACACCCATGTCAAAACACATTTATTTAATGCTGCTTTGGAGGATAAGTGCTGTGAAAAGACCAGAGATTTTCTTGCTGTTGCTGTGAAACAATCAGGGATTATTTCCTCCGCATAAACTGCTTTCATCTGACAATCTGGTGTCTGCCTCCTCTGTCGTCCAGTCGATTCGAATGGTGTCTTCATCTCAGCGGTTTAAGATGGAAGGCATTTTTATCCTGAAATGTTATTGAACATGTGACATAAACTAAATGTACACGAAGGTGAATTAATTATGTTTGTAAACCTTCGGGAATAGCGATAATCCCGGACTATTTTTGAGAAAAACTTTGAAGAGATTTGAAGGACCTCCTCACAGTTGAATGCTGAATATGTTCTAAGGGGGTGCTGAGGCTGCCGGTATGGGGAGTAAAAGTGCACAGGAACCAGGGCTGAGACATCTTACCTGAATTAAAGCTTAAAGAAAGAAGACTGGTGTTTTTTTTTCTTCTCTGAGCCAGACACAGGGAATTAAGAGATGCCAGTTTTCTTCAAATCCAGCACAAGTGCTGCAGCACTGATGGGAGAGGGTTTGGTAGGGTGATGCAATCTGTGGGAACCGAGGAACGCCGCACTCACAGACACATGCACGGCTAAACTGTAACAGACAGATACGGGAAAACAGAAAGCTCAGAGGGAAATAGAAATAAATGTGAAGCCCATGTAACTGTGTGCAACCTGTACAAATGTAAGCCATTCCAGTCCCAAATAGCAAGTGTGTATCACGGCCATAATTATCCCATGACATCACAACAGAGAGAAGGGGATAGAATCCCAAAAAAAATTTCAGATCGTGTCAGCTGTCTGAATCTTTGAGTTTTTTTGCCTTAAATGTGGTCAAGTGTAATGAATATTTCATGAGATGACGAAGCCCGTTGCCCTGTTTCCCCATATGGGCTGGAAATAAACTAAGAACTGCAAGCTTCAGAGCACACTGGAACAGTTGTCAGCGTCTCCTGTCTTCTAAAAGGAAATGTCTCTGGGCTGAACTCAGATGTTCCTATTTCATACTAAACATGTGGGCAGTGAGCGGTTACTTCAGGGATGATTAAATGTCCTTTAAAGGTGGTTTTAAACGAGTCTGCGTGCACTTCTTGTTGTTCCAGGAATGTCAAAATTGATAAGATGTGCATTAAGAAGGCCTTTAATTTGATCTATCCAGATTGTTCAGAGCAGCACAATAAAGCAGCCCTATAAGCTAAAGTTGCTCTTAATCAGGTTAAGGGTCACAGGAAATGAGCGTTTGTGAGCTCTCTTCGTTTAACTGGTTTGAACTATTCTCACGCGTATCAACCATCAGCACATCCGCCGAAGCTTAATGGTTCGCTGCCTGAGGTGGCGGTAATTCTTTAATTAGCTGTTGTTTTGCTGCAGGCCAGGGCCAATAATAGCGAACAGCCACGCAGAACGCGGGCCGTGGTGGTTAATGAGTGATGATGTGTAATTTTTTTGCATTAGGACAGGGGCGCCTCCGGTTTACACATTCAGTCAGTCTGGATGCCAACTTTGCTAGATGTTTTGATCCTGCTCTCATGGGTCGCTTTGGTCATCGGACAGGTGGTGGAGGGTGCGGAACAGGGGAGTGGGATGGTGGGCGTCTTAGCGAAGGCATCTCCAGATGCCGCCTGATTGTTCTCGGTGTTTGTGCTGCGAGTTAACCCCGGCCTCCCCCCGCCCGACGCAGATGGTGCTGTCAGCTCTATTATGGATATGAAATTATTAAAGCTGTAG